CTAAAATTAAAATGGCAGCTGGTAGCCTTACATAGCTAATAAACAAACTGAGGAATTGCCCGTTATTTTTGACATTAAGAAGCAAAATTTGGTTTGAGGAAAGTTAGTGTTAGTAGAGTTAAACACAAAATTAAATTAACAACTAAAAATCACACTCGGGATTCCTGGGTGGCTCAGCGGTTGAGCATCATGCTCAGGGCATGATCCCGGGCTTTGGGGTCGAATCCCACATCAGACTTTCTGCATGGAGTCTGCTTCTCCCTCACCTGTGTCTCTGCCTCTCTCTCTCTCTCTCTGTGTGTGTGTGTCTCTCATGAACAAATAAATAAAATCTTTTTAAAAAATGAAATAAGATAAATCACACTCAGGAAAATAACAATATTAAAGATAATATCCTCAGAAGAAAACTTAACTGACTAAATTTGAAATGGACAAAATTCACCTTTTTTATTTAATTTAATTTATAGACATAAATTTATTTAATGGAAAATTTTCAGGAAAAAATGGGAAAATTTATAAGTTATGGAAAATTATTCAGTGAACCCAATTGTCTTGGTGTAATTCATATCCAAAACCACATTCTTAATGAAGATTCAGTAATGCTTGTATAATTTTGATATAGGTTCATATTTAAAAATATAAAGATAAACAGAGAAAAAGTGTCATGTTGCATCTGGTTTTCTTTTGAACTTTTTCTCTTTGGTCAATTGAAAACTTCAATAATCTTGGGGAACTAATGTTTAGGATTTTTTTTCAATCCAGAGTTTAAAGGCTTTTTATTTTGAAATAATTTTAGACTTATAGGAAAATTGCAGAGATAGTAAAGTTGCCGGGTACCTGTCATTCAAATTCTATAATATGATATAGCTATCAAAACCTGGGAATTAAACATTGGTACAATAATATAATGTAAACTACAGGTCTTATTCACATTTCACTGGATTTTTGTTTTGTTTTTCCTAATGTCCTCTGTCCCAGGATCCAGTCCAGGATAACATATTGAGTTGTTCTGTCTCTTTATTCTCCTCCAAACTGTGACAGTTTCTCATTCTTTCTTTGTTTTCATGATCTTGGCACTTCTGATGAATACTGGTCAGTTGTTTTGTAGAATGTCTCTCAATTTGGGTTGCCTAATGTTTTCTCATGATTAAATTGAGATCTGCTTTTTGGGTGCAGACTATAGGAATGATGCTGTGTCTCCACTGTAGGCTTATGATGCCTATATGTCTTACTACTAGTGGTGCTAAACTTGATCACTTGCTTAAAATGGTGTATGCTGAATTTCTCCACTGCAAAGTCAATATTTTTCCCTTTATAACTGATAAATATCTTGGGGGAGATACTTTGATGTTCAAGCCATGTTTCTTGAAATCATAGTTTCTGAGTAGAATTTGATGTTTCTTTGGCATCCAGAGAAATCTGTTACTTTTAAAAAGCTCATATCAGAGTTAAAAAATTGTTTTCTGGAGACTATGAATCACATTGTGATTGGCATTCTAAGTATGGAATTAAAGGGAATGGAACTAAGGAAGTTAAAGTCTTCTCTGCCTATAAATAATGTAAATTTTTGTACCTATAAACAATATGCTTTATAAAATAGTTTTGAAAAATTCACTTAAATTCATACAACAATCTGATGAGGTTGGCATTTCATATTATCATTATTATTATTTTCCAATTTTCAGATGTATAAACTGTGATGGAGTAGACATGGTCAGATATCAGTGAGTTCTATATCATTGAATATGTGGCTTCTTGATGAAGATGTGGCAAGGCAAAACAATAGATGAGTGGCTGGAATTGATAAGCTGAAGATCACTTCTGATCTTAAGATTCTATAATTTTAAAACTAGTGATTAGGGATGCCTGGGTGGCTCAACGGTTGAGCGCCTGCCTTCAGCTCAGGGTGTGATTCCAGGATCCAGAATCAAGTCCCACATCGGGCTCCTTGCACGGAGCCTGCTTCTCCCTCTGCCTGTCTCTGCCTCTTTCTATGTTTGTCTCTCATGAATAAACAAGTTAAATCTTAAAAAAAAAAATAAAACATAGTGATTAAAAGTCTGTGTTATTAACTTATCCTCCTTTTTGCTTTCCGCTTTTGGAAGTTGAAGAAAGAACTTCTTTCTGCTTTCTTAATCAATCAACTAAAGCACTGGTGGAGTTTGCTGAAAGGAAGGATGTTCTTCCTTTTAGAATCCTCAGGCTGTATGATTATAGTTTGTATCATTCAGTAACAGCAATGTGTAGATCCTCTTTAAGATCTCAAAGAGGATGCTGGAACTGCAAAGTAGTAATAAGAAGTACCTTCTGTCTGTCTTTGCTGCTATAGACTGAAGCTCATGGAGAACAAGCAAAACCCTACTTCTGTGTTAGTTACATAGCCCCAGTGAAGTGAGTCTATTTTTTTTAAATTAATGTTTTGGTATTACTCAATTAGGTAAATATTACTTTAACGAAAAGTAGAGAGACAGGACTGCCTAGGTGGCTCAGCTGGTGAAGCGTCCAACTCTTGATTTCAGCTCAGATCACAATCTTTTGGGATTGAGCCACAAGTCAGCTCCATGCTCAGCAGAGAGTTGGCTTAAGCTTCTCTCTCCCTCTTCCTTTGTGCCTCCCCCTCCCTCACTCTATCTCTCTTCCTCTAAAATAAATAAATCTTTTTTTAAAAGAAGAGAGACAAACACATCTGTTTATTTTGAAATAGAAATATTGATGTACTCCAGAAAACTATATTGTTTTATCATCATAGTCACTATTTTTTCTTTACTTCTGATATTGTCTAAAAACCATAGATTTCAATGCTTCAAAAGAATAACTGAGGTTCAAAGAGGAGAAATGAATTTACAATGTTACATGGTTTGAAAATTATAGAAGTTTAATTTGCATGGCCTTTTTTTTTTTCTTATGGGTTAGGTCAACTAGCAATCATAGATACATTCTACATTTAAAATGTTTTTTTCTTACTAATAGGGAACTAAGGCTAGAACAAGGGAGTGATTTGCCCAAGGGCAATATAAAATTAAGAATCCAGGATAAGGGGATCCCTGGGTGGCGCAGCGGTTTGGCGCCTGCCTTTGGCCCAGGGCACGATCCTGGAGACCCGGGATCGAATCCCACGTCGGGCTCCCGGTGCATGGAGCCTGCTTCTCCCTCTGCCTGTGTCTCTGCCTGTGTCTCTGCCTCTCTCTCTCTCTGTGTGACTATCATAAATAAATAATTAAAAAAATTTAAAAAAAAAAAAAAAAAAAAAAAAAAAAAAGAATCCAGGATAAGATCCATATGGAAAATTATATTATGGGGAAAGACTACAGGCTTCTCTTTCTTCATTGAATCATCACTCTTGTGGTAGTCCCTTAAAGCAAAGATTGGTCTCCTCCTGGACAAATGGGAAGAACAATGGTCACTTTATATAGTATGCTTAATAATTTGAACTGATATTGAAATAAACTCTAATAGGAGTATTAATTTAGATTAGTGGCCAGTTGTCTAGGAAAGATTTGGATCTCACTGCGAATAAGATTTTATTCCTAATGTTCTTTTTAACCTTGATACAGAAAGTGCAGTGATTGTGGGTAAGTCCTTATACCTTCTATGAGCCTTGGTTTTCTAACATGGAAATGGTGATACATTCTTTAACCTACCTAATACATGCATATTAGAAAGAAATCATGGAAATAAAAGAACTTGTTGGAAATACAAAGATATAAGCTTTCCTGCTTCATTTCCTTTCTTATCTCTCTATTTAGAATGCCTCCTAAATTACCTTCCTCTTAACCCAATTCAGCTTGGCTTGACCAAAAGAAGGAGTTTTTCTTTTATTCACTTAAGGTAAAAGTTCAGGATCAGCTGATCTACTAATTTGAATCACTGTGTCAAGAATTCATCTTTCTCTACATCTTAGTTCTTTTATTTTTATTGGCTTCAGTTTCAGGCAGGTTCACACTATATGTGGCAAAATGACCATGAATACCTCCAGGCTTGTTCTATAAGTTTTGCAACAGCGTTAGTTATGTGCCAACACCTGAACCAATCTCTGTGACCAGAGAAATGGACTCCTATGATTGGTTAGGCCTGAGCCATATGCTAAAGTTAGTTCCACTTAAACTATTTGAGCTAAATAGTTCCAGAGGATGGTTATCTAAAGAACAAATGAGGTACTCTTAATGAAAGAAGAATCTCAAATGCTAGAAAGGATGCTGGGTTGGAAAAAAAAACAATAGCTGTTGACTACGCACCCCCCCCAGTCCCATTTTACTTATTGACACCATATGAATGCTATGAGGATTGTCTCAAGAGTTTCCTTGTGAAGTCATTCTGATCCTCTAACTACACGATTTCTCCCTCTTTTGTGTTCTCTTAGCATCTTGTGCCTCTTCTGCTTATTTTCACGAACTTTGTATAATTATTACAAGTTCATTTTTTAGGGGCACCTGGATGGCTCAGTCAATTGAGCACGTTGCTCTTGATTTCAGTTTGGGTCATGATCTTGGAGTCCTGGGACTGAGCTCCACCTAGGGCTCCATGCTTAGCATTGGGTCTGCTTATCCCTCTTCATCTGCTTCTTTCCCTGTTCTGTTTCTCTTAAGTAAATAAATAAAAATGTTCATTTCTTAGATTACTATAGTATTAGTTCTTTAGAGACAGAGACTATATCTTACCTGTCTTTAATTCTTCAGCAGCACCCAACAGGTATCTGATTCATAATAGACTATCAGCAAATATTTATTAAACTGACTTCTTAATGTTGTACAAATTATGAAGGATGAAAAACAAATATGGATGAGGCAGACAGTTTTATTATGTACATAAATTTATTGACTGATTAATTTATTAAAAGACTAACAGAAGCAATGTTGACAATTCTGAGAAATGATTTCTGTATAGGTAAGGATAGCTGCAACCCCAGGAGAGTGGTCAGCTTTGGTGAGGACTGGTTCGGGAGGAAGTGTCTCTAGACCTACTCTGCATTTACTAACTCTGTGCCTTCTTTTCCTCTTCAGTTGTCTGGGTTCACGTCTAAGATTGTTCCAGCTATCCAGAATGCACACAAGAATTCCCCTGGATCTGGAAGAGGAAAGGGACTGATGGTGCTAACTGAACCCATTTTGATTGAGACCTACACCGGGCTGATGTCATTCATTGGAAATCGCAACAAACTTGGCTATTCCCTTGCCCGGGGGAGTATTGGTTTTTGAGACTCTTTTTGGTGTATTAGTATGTCATCCATCAATATATCTTTATTGAAGATTCTGTTTCAGACCACGGTATTTTTAGACTGAAACAATTAATTACTTTTAAATACTACTTCATGATTTTGAAATTTTGAATACTTAGTATTTTTAGGAAATCTAAAAGCTTGATTACACTGACAGATGAACACTTCAGACCTCATATAAGAATAATCAAATTTGGGCAGCCCGGGTAGCTCAGTGGTTCAGCGCTGCCTTTGGCCCAGGGTGTGATCCTGGAGTCCCAGGATCGAGTCCCACATCAGGCTCCCTGCATGGAGCCTGCTTCTCCCTCTGCCTGCGTCTCTGCCTCTCTCTCTCTCTCTGTGTGTGTCTCATGAATAAATAAATAAAATCTTAAAAAAAAATCAAATTTCCTAAAACCAAAAAATAAGTTCTCTTGAGCTCATCAAATAATGGTATCAATGAATACCTGATCATAAACTGAGGGCAGACTCTCTGGGTTCTCTTATTCCTCCATCCTCTAAATATAGGTACGTATTTTCTGGGTCTTGATCTCAAGCCCTTTGGTTCTGATCTTCTCTTTCATTGGGGTCTGACTATATTAGTTTAGCTGCTCTTTTTATGAGGATGACTTCCAAATTCATATTTCCATCCCTAATATTTCTTCAGGATTTGCTTTTGTATTTCTTTCTGCTGATCATATATATCAGTGTTCCAATGGCCACTCACATGGAGCATCTTCAAAATCCTGGAGTTCTCTGTGGCATTTTTATGGTTCCAGTAATTGTCCCTGAAATCCATCAATTTTGCTATATTTAAATTCATTGCCAAATGATTTTGTATGGTATCGTATCTTTCATAGTCTGTTTGGGCTGTTATTATAAAATACCACAGACTGCATGGCTTATAAAAAAACAGAAGTTTATTTCTCACAGTTCTGGAGGCTGGAATTCAGAGTTCAGGGTTCCAGCATAGTCAGGTAAGGGCCTTCTTCCTGGGTTGCAGACTTCTTGTTATATAGTCACATGGTAAAGAGGCAATAGGGTTCTCCTGTGCTTCTTTTTATAAGGGCATTAATTTTATTCACGAGGGCTCTGCTTTCACGACCTAATCACCTCCCAGAGGTCCCACCTCATAATACCATCACATTGGGCTTTAGGATTTTGACATATGAATTTTGAGGGGACACCAACTGTCCCCTCAATAGCAGTACCCAATTTATGTGTGGCTTAGCATTGTACCCCAATGCCCAGAGGTCAAGCTTAAAGTTCACTCTTCTTTGAAAATTGGTCATGAATTCCTTCCCCTTTACATTTTCATAGGTATATATTATTAGATCAAGTCTTTTATTCTGTTCACCTGGATAATTTTGCCATAGCCTTTTACTTGGGATCTTTGACCCACGGCTGACTCTATTCTAATCCATCCTGCATTGGTTGTCAGATATCTAAAGCACAATTTAATCCTATCACTCCTTGCTCAAGAATTTTTAATTGATTATTTCCTTTTGCAGTTTTTTGTTTAAACATTTATTAAACAAAATTTATTTATTTTCCAATAGCAGACACTTCCCTTCTATTGAAATCTGTTTTGGATTCCTAATATGTAAAATAGGTAGAAGTGAGGCCACTAAGATAGAAGTGGACATGGGATTGCCTCTGGATTCCTCTTTTTTTGGGTCTCAGAGGTGTCCCCTGTAGAATGTCGATGGCTCCCAGAGGTTTTGAGAAGCATGTCTTCAAAACTACTGTCCGAACCTATTTTGTTTCCTTTGCTCTTTTCTCTCATATTTTCTTTTTCTTTCCCTGACATATGTCTCATTTCAAACAACTCAGAAGATTATTTCACCTGTTCTCATCTCTTCAAGTTTTTCTTTCTCAGTTTTTCAATTTAATTTTTAAATTTATTTTGAAAAGAAGCTCTGAATGCTGAACACCATAAATATTATTATAATCAGCTTTTCAAGTCTGTCTCAAGACTCAAAGTTAAGACACCTTGGTTGGTATTCAAGTTAAAAATTCCAGCTATTTTTTTTTTTTTTTTTGTAGGGAGGTTGTGCAGAGTGTATTTTTAAAGTCTTTTCTCCTAAAAATTTGTTTCCTCAACTTCAGAGATTTGTCCTCTGATTCATTAACAAACATTGATTTGATGCAGGCATTCAAAACCCACTCCTTGAATAACTCTCGTTTCATTTTGTCTTTGTTTACTTCCATTAGGATTTTTCTCTCTCTCTCCCCCTTTCCCCTTCTGAACACTCACTTCCCCCCAAACCCCCCACCTCATGATGGCAAATATTGTTATAGTCCCCAAGGCAGGGAACTTCTATTCAGACTGTAAAAGGAAATGTTGAAATCTTTCTCTGTCCTGTCAACAGTAGTGGAATGAAAAGTCGTTGGATTGTTTTGGCAATGGTTCTGAAGCAGGCATAATTGGCAAATTATTATAAGACTGCTGCCCGAAAATCCCTATTTGCCTCAAGATAGTGGCATTTGTTGGCAGAAGCATCTGAAATGTCCAGCACATTCTTTTGAATTACCATTTAAGGATCAGCCTGACAATAGACTTCTTTCTGCACTTCTTTCTTCCCTCATAACCCAGAACAGACTGTTCCCAAGTGACTTTCTAAAGGACACGGTGCAGCACTACCAATGCAAAAGGTGAGAGGAGGGAGATGTCTCTTAGCCCTGAGGTCTAGCTTCTAACATATAGGATAAGCATTGAATAACACCAGAACTGTTTAATACAGAGAAGAATGAACTTAGAGATGACACGAGAATGCTTTTCACATTTCACAAAGACTGTCTAATGGGATATCCCATAAACTGATACATGGGACCTAGAAAGTACGTTATGATCAGACAATGTGAGGATTCAGGAATCTGCAAGTCAGTTTAAGATAAGAAAGAACTTCTTATGGGTAGGGATGTCAAAGATGGGATGGGTTGCTCCTTGAAAGAGGGAGCCTGCCATCACTTGGTATTGTTCAAGCAAGGGCTAGGTAAGTAGATATTGTGAACAGGATTGAAAGATGGGTGATTGATATCATACTTTAAGACTAGAGACTTTATGATCTTCCAAATAATGTTGCTAGTGATTAATTAATTAAATCATTTTTTTTCTTTGGAAAGAATTGAATCAGTCAAATGAAACCCTAGAAAACTTTCCTAAGATTTACTGTCCTCATCTGTAAAATGGAGACAGTAAATGGTGCCTTTTCTGCCCACTTCATAATGATCTTGTGAGGACTGAATGAAATGAGATTAAATTATGGTATTAAATAAAAAACAAAACAAACAAACAAACAAACAAAAAACATTGAGTATTTGCCTGTAGAGTGGTAAGACTTAGAAGCAGAAAGTAGGATAACATCCAAGGCAACTATATTTAGTTCCCTCTGGGAATTTTTCCTTGATCACTATGGACCTACTGACCATCATTCTCCCATTTGACACTTAGTGTTCTCATTTGGGTTCCTTGTCAACAGGAAATACAAACCGCAAAACAGGGGACCTACTATATGTCTGGGCTTTTCATTCAGATTGTCATCTGAATTATACCAATAAAGTTTCTGAAAGGGACATCATAAATTTGATTAGGAATAGGAGTATTTACAAGAGGTATTAAGTACTGGGCATATCATCATAAAAATGTCATGTTTGGCCATCTTCTTTATCTGATCTTTATCCCATTCAGGAAATCCCACTCCAAAATCCCTGATATGTCTCCTTTCAAAACTGCTTGAACATCTTTATTGACAGATTGTTTAAGGTCTCCTGATACATCTTAGGCAGTTCTGATGGTTAGTAAATTCTCCTTCGTTTGATTTAGACCCTGCAACATCCATCTGCCATTTCTTTCAGAAAAAAAAAAAAAAATATTTTGCTGGCAAAGGTTTGGGTTTTCACAGCAGGATGTGGGATATTTGGGTACAGAGGCAAGATTGGTGGATTCTCTAATGTTTACAAGAAGGGGAGCTGTCAAGAATTGCTAAGCCTGACCTTCAAGTGGGCAATTGGGCCTCTTTGGAGGCCTGACCTTTGGCCATTCTCTAAGGCAGAAAAGAGAACCAGTTGATATGTTTTAGATCTTTTGCCTTGAGGCCTGTTCTCCTTGTCCCCTTGCTGAAGCAATACCAAGAAGGCCAATGCACAGACCCTGGGGCTAAGGAGGCATAGAAACCATTCAACCCAATGCTTTCATTTCCACAGAACAGAAAGCAAAGGCCTAGAAACTGGGGGGGAAAAATCGCTCAAAAACCAGATGGTGGATTTTGGTACTGAAATTAAACTCTAAAGCTTCCAATTTCTTATCCCTGGCCCACTGCTGTTTGCATATATTTCCATTCCCAGAGAAAGGCATATTATCGAAATCAGGGCATCATAGTTGCTGGGCTAAATCTGAAGTAAGAAAACAATAGGTCATCGTTGTTTAAGGGGAATTTCCAGAAATTGCCTGTCTTTTCTTAAAGGCTAAGGTCACTCATAGAACTCTCTGATTTCCTATCTGATCGAAAAGCCCAAACAAAGCTGCGGAAGCGGGCAGAGCCAGCAGATATTTTGTAAGGCGGCTTTACCTCTGCCTGGCATTTTGTGGGGCAGGAGAGGGGAGGGCAAAAGTATTAAATTTAGGCTTAAAAGCTCCTCAGAAATTCTTTACACACAAGAGACCAAGTTGGAGAAAAGAAGATGACTCGTGCCAAGGGGAAGAAAGAGAGACTAATGCCTGTGGTTTTCAAAGGTTAACAACAAAAAAAGCCCAAGTATTTGCACAGGGATGAATGCTTGTTGGCTCTTGGCCAACAATTTATACAAGGGCTTGTGCCCACATCCTGTAGCTGTGGTTTAGGGACGCTGCTCATGAGTGACTTCTTATGCTTAGTGGCAGGAAACCTTAGTCACTGATGTGTAAACTCACCTTTGGTCTGCACCTCCCACAATGTGCTTCTAAGGCAGCTAGGGGCCAGGCCTCCAGATTTCCTCACGGATACCAGTTCCTCAGAAGCTAGGGAAGAACTCCTTCTGAGGCCTTGGAAGTAACTGAGACTTGATTCATACTTTTCTTATTCTACTGATTGCAGCAAGCCCTTAGAAGAATTCTGTAGCCTCAAGGAGGAATCATGGTATCTTCTGCTAAATTCTCGCTTCAGTCTAAAACCCAAGACAAAAAATACGTGAGCTAGATTTCATTTCAGGGCTGTGACCAATGTGAAATATGAGAAGCAAAGTCATGAGGTTGCGCCTGAGTCTAGATCTTGTGTCTGATGGGCTATTTGCTCTCAGTCCTAAAAAGATCTTAGCAAGCATCTCACAAGTCTCCTCCTGGGTGAAGCCACATGGAATTTGCAAGGAATTGCTCAAAAAGCAGATGGTGAATTTTTACCAAAACTGGGAGTAGATCCTACAGCTTCCAATTTCCTATTCCTGGCCCACTGTTTCTTCCATGTATCTCCATTCCCAGGGAAAGGCATGACATCTAAATCGGTGCATCATCGTTGGTGGGCTTAATTGAGGGGAAAAAACAATGGGTCTGGTGTAATTAATTCTTTGTAGGTAGATAGGAAGGAAGGATCAGGATGCTACATTATGAAAGGAGAGTATGCCAGGTTCTAAAGTTCTCTGAAACAACCCCCTTGCGTCTCACATCCTGTCAAGGATGCCTATGTCATCCGTCTTAGAAATTCCTTTTCTTTCTTTTTACATTCTGCTTACTCTTTATGGACTCACTGAAGCTGAGACTGGAAGGGACCTTAAACACCATCTACTTTAGCCCTCTACCTATTGCAGGAATGCCCTCAACCAAAACATGTACAGCAACTGCCGACCAAGCTTCTGCTAAAACATTTCCAAGGCAGAGAATCCTTAGCTTTCTACAGCAGCTAATTCTACTGCTAGGCAGCTACAGCAGGGACAAAGTTTTTCTGAATGTTGTAACCAAATCTTCTTCTTTAGAAATTTATCTACTTAATTCTAGATCTTCCTCCAAAGTTACTCAAAATAAATCGATTTTGTATTCCATGTGGTCACACTTCAAGTAAATAAAGGCAGCTGACTGGTATTCTCTCCCAAAGAAGTGGTTTTGTTTTTTTGACACAAAAACCCCAGTGCTTGTAACCATTCTTCATCTGATGGGTTATATAGAGCCCTATTTTTTTTTTAAGATTTTTAAAATTTACTTATTCATGAGAGACACACAGAGAAAAGAGAGAGGCAGAGACATAGGCAGAGGGAGAAGCAGGCTCCATGCAGGGAGCCCGACTCAGGACTCCATCCAGGGTCTCCAGAATCACCCCCCCACCCCCCACCCCCGGGGTTAAGGCGGTGCTAAACCGCTGAGCCACACAGGCCTGGAAGTTCATATATAGGCTGACCAGTGCAGGTTACAGTGTATTTTTACTTCGTTTGCCACCACACTACTAGTAATGAAATCCAGGTTTCTTTATCATACTAGTTGTTTACATGAAACGTAGGGTTAGTTTCATACTGTATATAATATTTTTTCTGATTTGGTAATCTCATTTAAGAAACAAATGAGGGGCGCCTGGGTGGCTCAGTTAGTTAAGCATCTGACTCTTGATTTTGGCTCAGGTCATGATCTCAGGGTCCTGAGATGAAGCCTTGAGTTGGGCTCTGCTGTGGGCAGAGAGCCTGCTTAAGATTTCCTCTCTCACTCTGCTCCTCCCCAACTCTACCTCCAGTGCATGCATGCCCATGCACTAGCTCTGTCTCTCAAAAAAAAAAAAAAAAAAAAAAAATGAGACCAATTTAGTAATTTAGTATGGATTACTCATAGTAAACCCATACTAGTTTCTAGTAATTACTGATTTTCTTTTCTGACTTTTAAATTTATTTGTTAATTTTGTGGCTAAAGTATCTGTTTAACATTTATTCATAAATCATTAACAAATTTCCTCTTCTATAGTTTCTGACAACCAACATTATTTTTATTTTTATTTTTTTTGATTTTTATTTTTTTTAATTTATTTATGATAGTCACAGAGAGAGAGAGAGAGAGAGAGAGAGAGAGAGGCAGAGACACAGGCAGAGGGAGAAGCAGGCTCCATGCACCAGAAGCCCGACGTGGGATTCGATCCCGGGTCTCCAGGATCGCGCCCTGGGCCAAAGGCAGGCGCTAAACCGCTGCGCCACCCAGGGTTCCCCCAACATTATTTTTAAGTGTTATTTTTTTTCCTGTCTCTAATTTAGAGGACACAGTAGGATGGCTACTATGATGGGCCATTGAGCCAAAGCAGTAATCAAGTATGGTTTGATCCACAGAGATGTTTAGCATTGGTTAGTTGATTGTTTTGTTTCTGGAACAAAAAAAGTTGGGCAGCCCACTCAAGTCTTACTTGATCTGTATAAGCAGAAGTGAATGGAAATATGACTTGAATCAGCACCTACCCCCCCCAGGATACTGTTATATTCATTTCAATGGCAACAGCTCCAACTGTCATTTCTGGTCAACAGAGAATAGTGACCATAGAGCCACATCCTAAGCTTGCTGAGATTCCCCTCACAAATATATTTCTCATAGCTTTGAAGAAGGAAGCATCTCTGGAATTTCATAAGGGACATAGAAAGGAGATGGGGTTCTCTCCTGGGCATTTCAATTTCATTCAATATATACTTCCTTTGGCCCTATGTTTTAGGCAATTAACCAAGCAAACTATTTGAGCCATTTTTAGTGGCTCATACACATTGAATCTTATAATCAATAATATTTTGTCTACTCCAATATTATATATCTTCACTCTGTTCTAATATCCTTAGGATTGGTTCCCATTCATGTTCTCTGGTTTTTTGTTGGTATAAATTGATAAAACCTCATAATTATTTTGGGATATATTATACCTTCTCACAAATCACACCTTTTTACTTACTTGTAAGAAACCTAATTTGGTTATGAGTCTACAAACAATGAGAATGGATTATTATACACTTAATTAAGTGCTGGCTTCAACTATACTATGGATGCAGATGTATGGAAGTTTCTTTTTTCCTTTTTGCTTGAGCAAAAAAAAAAAAAAAAATACATTCCCTGACAACTGGTATGCTGGTGCTTTTGTTGTTGTTGTTTTGTTTTGTTTTTTCTTTCTTTTTATCTGTTATTAAAGATCATCAGGGCAGTTTGCTTTCAACCGTTGGACCACTAGTACACTTAGGGTTATTTCAACCTTCCAACGTATATTATATTCTAGTCAAAGGGAAATTGATTACCTCTCTGTTCTATAAGACATCCCACTGGTCTGTTTCACTGATGATATACTGATTTAACTAAGTGCACAGAAAGTAGCAACTATTCTAACACTTGTGTGACACATGCACGGAAATATATCGCCCCCCAATTCTGAGGTTTTTGTCATGAAAAATCACCAGTGTGAGGATCATTGGTCTGGGACATGTTAAGATGCATGTCCCAAAGCAAATGGCAATTTTTTGTATAGGAATACGAAGAAAAAGCTAAAGTGCCTAATGGGGTTCTTTAAACTTTGGAAGCAATTGTATACCTCACTTGTGTCTGCTGCTTGAACCCATTGTACATTTAATGCAAAAGGTTGCTAGTTTTCAATGGTGCACCAAAAAGGGGAAAGATCTGGAACAGGTCCAAGCTGCAGTGCAGGCTGTTTTATCACTTGGGTTATATACTCAGCAGATCCGTTGCTGCTTGAAGTATCTGTGGTAGGCTGAAATCTTGCATGGAAACTTTGGCCAGCCCCTGTAGGTAAATCACTGGATAGACCTTAGGATTTTGTTTTGTTTTTTTTTTTCTTTCTTTCTTTCTTTTTTTGACCTTAGGATTTTGAACAAAAATATTCCATTCTCTTAAATAACAATTTCCTTTTGGATTGCTACTGGGCCCTAGTAGAGACTGAGCACTTGACCATAGACCACCAAGTTGTGGTATAGCCTACACTGCCTTGGTCAGATCCACCAAGTCAAAAATTTGGGCATACACAGCAGCACTCTATCAATTGAAGGAGATATATACATGGACCTCAAGCAAGTCCTGAAGTCACATGTAAGTTGTATGAGTAAGTGTCCCAGAAAACCATAATACATATTCCCACTACATTTTCTTCTCTCTCCAACCCACATCTATGGCTTTGTGGAGAGTTCCCTACAACCAATGTGTTGGGGGAAATTCTTTGGACCTGATTTACAAATAGTTTTATATAATACGCTGCACTGACTGAAAGTATGCAGTTGTGGTGCCTACTCCATTGGTGATCCTGGGAGACAATAGTAAGGAAAATTCCTCATAATAAGCAGAATAAATAAAATGCCATTTACATGTACTGCTTTACTACTACTTTCCATTTTATAAATGAAGAAACCAAAACCTGGAATAGTGATATGACCCAGTTAACTGCCATGCAGATCTCACTTAGCCACTACAGCTTTGTAACGGCAGAAACATGATGACATTTCTTCCATCCTGCCTATATCAGGTTTGGATTCAGTTTTACATGATTTAAGCCATTTCATTATTTTAAATGCAAAGTGTTTTTAATATGTGGAATTAAGTACTTACAGCATTGTTAGGAAGTCTGGAAGCATAAGCTCTAGGCTGGAACTCCAGAAGTGATTCCTAGAACAACACTGCAAAATCAGACCACCTAAGGATTAGTTATCTCTGCAATTAGGAAGCAATTAGAGAGTTGCAATCCCAACAGCAGGTACCAGGATCATACCCCTTGGCTACAGTCTAATGATCAGGAGCTTCCATTAGACCTGCTGGCTCCAGAGCTACATTGCATCTGCTAGGTCTGCACCAGCAAAATAAATGAGATCCTTTCTGCCCCCCTTCCTCCTAGCTTATACTGAAGCAGGATATGGGAACAACATTCCATTTTTTCCTCTTAATAGCAAGTGCAAGAATTTATTGCATGTTTATAGGTACCAGGCGGTGTGCTAAGGTCTTTGCATTCACTGTATCAGTGAATCTTATAACTCTGTCAAGAATATATCGTTACAGACTCCATCTTGAAATAAAGAAAACAAAGTACAAAGAGGCAAAGAAACTTGTCTAAGACTGTTTATTTGTAGAGAGAAGACCTGGATTAAATTAGAACTTAATCACACCCAAAATCTAGCTACAAAGGAAACAGGTTGTGATATTTAGCTTTCTAACTTCTGCAGAACAAAAGGCCCACTAGAATAAGGTTAATTGTTGAACTGGCCATCCTACTGGATCCTCACTTATGTTAAAGATAACCACTAAACTATTTTCTTCTTTGCTTGACTGTGAAGTCCTTGAAGGCACCCCAATTTCTCCTTTAATACAGTATCTTACATATTATGCAATCAGTAAATGTGTTTTTATGATACCAGTGTCATAGGCATTTTGGGTTCAACCCATTTCAGTAGTCTGTGTTTAAGCTTCTGTAAAACTACTACCTTTTTGTGATCTAGTTTTACAGAGCAGCAGCTCAGCTTAGGCTTTCTCCCTGACTTTAGAAAGAAATTTTGATTTTAGCTAAACCCTTCTTATGCTCCAGATTTTGTTGTGGTTACATCAAAAACACATAGCAATATTCAGACTGTATCATAGTTATAGAAAGTGAGGAATGGCATTTTACTGGGGTTAAAAAAAAGGTCATAAGACTATCTGAGTGATGCCCAAAGTGTCAGTCAGGAGCATGCTGGTTTTAGAACAGAATTCAGTTAGTAGAAGTAAGGCCACATCTAGAATAAGCAGAACATGATGACCAGGTAGATACTATAGCCAGAAGAGGTGCATCAAGAAGAAATGATGAACTGAGGTTCTCCCAGACTGCCATTGGTTTCAGGAAAGTGACCTGCAAGCAGTGGAGACCAGCCAACTGATTCTAGTGACTTCTCACTAAAAGTGAGTGACTTCAATACTACAGGTAGGGAATATACAAAGTAAAAGTGACTCATGGGAAATAACAATGTGTGAAGATTTGGATAAGTTGAGTATGAGAGCTATGGGACATCAAGTGAAAATATTCCTATCTAACCAGCAGGTGTATGTGAAGGTGTGTTGTTCAGGAGAGAAGATCTTTGGCTAGAGATAAAGGTCAAGGAGTCATCCAAGAATGAGTTGTAGTTACCGCCTTACATGTAGATGAGATTGTAGAACTTTCTGTAATAATGGAAACCATAATTCTGTGCTGTTAGACACAGTAGCCACGAGTCATGAATTGTGGCAGATGAGACTTAGAAACCGAAATGTTTATTTTATTTTAATTAGCTAAATTCCATATAGCCATGTATGTCTAGTGGTTATCTTACTGAACAACACATATAGAATGAAGAAAAGAGATGGCTGAAAATGAAATTATTTTTTTTTTTTTAAATTTTATTGGAGTTCAATTTGCCAACATTTAGCATAACACTCAGTGCTCATCCCACCAAGTGCCCCTGTCAGTGCCCATCACCCAGTCACCCCAAACCCCCGCCCACATCCCTTTCCACTACCCCTTGTTCATTTCCCAGTGTTAGGTGTCACTCATGTTTTGTCACCCTTACTGATATTTTCACTCATCTTCTCTCCTTTCCCTTTATTCCCTTTCACTAATTTTTATATTCCCCAAGTGAATGAGACCATATGATATTTGTCCTTTTCCAATTGACTTATTCCACTCAGCATAATACCCTCCAGTTCCCTCCATGTCGAAGCAAATGGTGGGTATTTGTCATTTCTAATGGCTGAGTAATATTCCATTGTATACATAGACCACAGCTTCTTTATCTATTCTGAAAATGAAATTCTTAATAAAATGTTGAATATCTGAGGTTATCTTAATGTCACCAAAGACAAACAAGAACACATGCCTTTCTGGATTATTTCTTTTTTCTATTTTATCAAATGTTAAAGAAAGTCGAATGATACAGAAGAGCTTCTATGGAAACCAACACCTTCCCAACTCATCTCCAACTTCTGACTTAGTGGCAACTTATTTTCAGAGCCTTCCTGGTTCTGCTGGTAGTTACCTTGATAACTATGACAAATATGCTTTTATTTCTATGTACTGATTTATCAACATCAGGTATTATCTATTAACTTCCTATATGAAAGAACCAGAGTTAATTCACATATACTGTACGTTTCACTTTCCTTGCCTCCTTAATTGTTCATTATTTTCACTTTTCTTTCGATTATATTTCTTACTTAAATGATATGCTTTCACTTTGATTTCACTTTAGTTTCACTTGAGTTTCTATCTTATCTCCCCTCTGTGTCAATGAAGATGTTAGTGAGATAATTTAGCTTTTCCTGGCAACTCTTATTTTTTGTCTTTTGTCAAATATGTATTTGTTTTTACATATCCATTAACGTACTGTTCTGGAGTCATGTTAAGTATGTCACCTTCATCTGTGTACTTAGTAATTTTGTGGAAAGCAGTGATGGAAATCACTTCCTTCTGGAAGGAGGAATGTAAGACAGATGATCTGCTCTTTAGCTTTAGTCCTTCATCTTCGTTGGCAAAAATAACAACTCATTATCTATAAGTCTTCAAACTTGTATATTTTATTTTAGTGATTCTCTCACAAGCCCATCAATTATTTATATCTTTGTTTTGCAGAGAAATAAATCAAATAGAAATAAATAGAATGACTTGACCAAGGACATGTAACTGAGAAGTAGGTATATTGAGAGTCAGTTAAGGTTTTCTGATGAGATAGCACCTCATGAATCTGTTCTCAGTAAGGTTTTCTAACCAGTGAAGTTTAAAGAAAAATTTATGGGTTGGGTTTCTTGTTTCAGGTTTACAATCCATTGTTCATGTTGGAGTGAAGAAATTTGAAGCTTGTGTACTGTGACCACATTTTCTTTCAAGGAACTGTAGAAATGCCTCCAGGCATCT